GCAAAACTATGCACCCGTTCTAATTTAGTATTTTGACATAATTATTGACAATTGTGAATAGGCATACTTCTCTTCTTGACAGAAATGTTCTTTTATACATGTATATGGATACTTAAAGTACAAGTACATATTATACTGGTATAATACGGCTGTTTGGGGTATACTAAGTTCTCAAGTCTCAAGTTCATGGTTTGATACATAAACGGAATATTTCTCTTTTCCACAGAAAAATCATTTCACGTCAACAGTACTAGTGATTTGAAACAATTAAATTGATCATGTACATCATTTTATATCGCATGTATACCGTGCAATATACACAAATGGTAAATGCTATAAAATTAAATTTTCACGGCTTTAATTTATTATGGACTCTAAAAAATGCAGATAATATAAATAATGCTCTTTTCAAACTGTTTAATAAGATTTGTGTTTCTGTCCCCTTTTGTAAACCCGTTAAACTTCGGCAATGTGTATTGCAGCTGACCGACTTTAGCGTGGGAGAGACGCGATCTCGGTTACGTCCTTTGATGTGGCGAGAATGTGACGTAGTATTTAAAGTTCTCGACAAGCAAAGCGGCAGCTCGTCACAAACAATGTAATCCTTTAGGGGTTTTGCGATTTGCTCTATGAGAAGACGCACGCAGCAGTGTTTTCAGGAAGCAGAAAAGCTTCGGTTAAAGTAGAAGGTTAATGAACGTCACTTACAGAACGGGTATTTAACTTTTGATGTATTAAGTCATACATAGGCATTTAAATTATGATCTATTTATATCGATCACAGTTTGTTCCAAGTGTTGATTCATGTCAGAACCGAGTCGCAGAGAGTCTTATATGTGTATGTTTTTGGTTTTGATTGGCTTTGATTGAAGAAATTTCTTTTTCTGAAGTTAAAATGGCAGACAGTGAGTATACACGATTGAACAATTCTATAACATACAATATGATCAAAATTTTAGAGATTGGGAAATATCAAATTGTATTGGTACGTGTTATTACCTGACAAGGTTTTAAAAGAAATAGAAAGGTATGGTGAACCATAAGTAACACAGAGGTATTTAGCGAGTCGTTTTACTTTCGTTATCAAAAATAATACCTGAACGTTTTGAATAAAATGTTAATCTATTTACACTTCTGCATAATTTGTATTTTAATTATATGATCAAAGAATTGATATTTATAAAGTTGAACTCAGTTTATCTTAATAAAAATCTTAATAAAATTAAATAAAAAATCCAAAGATACAAGAATTATTAGAAAGTATTGATATTACAATTAGTAAATTATAAAAGAAATAGAAATCAATTGAAATTTTCTGTTCTGAGATCTCGTCTCAATTCACTAGTAAATTATTTTAGAATGATTACCAAACACGCATATGACTCAAAATGGTCTCAGGATAATGAAGACATATAACATAAAGTAAAATTAATGAAAATTAACTCCAAAAAAAGGAAGTGCTGCTTGAAAAACTAAAAATATAAAATATGCCTGATTCTTAAGTCACTGAAATTAATGATTGATGTAATACTTATACTTAACGAAATAAAATATCACTCTTTCACTTGTGTCCCCTCCACGCGAAATGACATTCTCCTCATTAATCTTGGAGATCATGGATTGTTATCAAAAACACTTGAATCAAACACCCACCTATCTGCTTACTTCTTGTCTTAAACTGCAGTCAAAATTGCCCTGCACACCATATTTACAGCAAATCTCCCTCTCGCATCCACTGCGGTTGTTTTATAGTCCGCTTGGATTTGCGAATGGGGGTGAAGACGCTATGCTGACCATTCCATAGTGGGTGAACTCAACTATATCTTCATCATCGCGCGTCTTTTCTCTATGTACTTTTGCAATACCTTCCACTATAGAATATGTTTCCCTCGTCATTGAATGAGAGGCTCTTGTCTTCCAGATCTATCCATTCTTGGCTGCCTCCACTCTTGTCTTTTTTGGTCATCATCAGTCTGATCAAGAGGGAGACTGTAAGTCACTGGACAAGGCTCTTTATATTTCTCTGAGGAATTAAATTCATAAAGGACTTTTAGACTTGATTGTTTAAAATTCTAAATTGTTTTAAAGAGAGAGTAATACCAGTATGTTTGCAAATTATAGAACACATGGAATAATGTATATTAGAATAGTCAGATTGGTGATTAATTTAATTTCCTACTGCATGGATGTTACGCGATATTTATTATTTGGGATCTTTTTTAATTACAAATGTAATATGTACATCCAAATATCATAAATTTCTGTCATTAGATGATAAATCTTATAAACTGAATATATTTATCATTAATTTTGTTTTAGACTGACTGTCCTCTTCAATACAATTAGGCCCTATCTCTGCTCTTCCATAATTGCTAAACACATAAATCTGTTGTAACATTTATTGCCAATTCAAGTAATTTCTCTTTGGTAATTAAGGAACCGCCATCTTCTGGCATCTTGCACAACTGCCTGGTAAGTTACCTCAATATAATAAGTAGCAGTTTTTCAAAGCAAAATACCAGTATTTGGTTAAAGTTATTAGTATATCCTTTTGGAAAACGTGTCGTCTGAGCTGAAATTTCATAATTGATTTCTTGTTCTCTTCTTTGATCACAGGAAAACATAAAGAAGACGATACATAGATTGGACAGGTTCAGCTTTCCTCTACCCAATGGCAGAAGGGGATTTTAATCCTGGCTGGACCTTATCTGTTTTATTTTTTGTTCTTGTTTATGCTTGTGGCAGATATAGAGACCATATTATACCTTTCTTTAGGCATTTATGTAATGCGTGTTTCGAATTATGCTACGATTGGATAACGTCACTATGGTCTGCAGCTTGTGAACGTTTGAGTTTTTGTAACACTGAAGAAACAGATATTGATCACGTGTCAACTCAATCAGTTACGCTTGAGTTGTTATCTGATCAATCGATAAGAATAGACAGACCTAACGTTAGAACTAATGATGAACCCATTCCAATTATTTCAGTGCCACCCCCATCTTATGAAATCGTCTGTGACTCGGATAGGGCCGAATCTGAAAACTTTTTAACCCCGACTCTTTCACTTGAGGTACTTTCTAATCAGTCTACAGACACCGAGGAACACCACAATAGCAACGATGTTGAAAATCCCGTTCCAATTATTTCAGTGCCACCCCCATCTTATGAAATCGTCTGTGACTCGGATAGGGCCGAATCTGAAAACTTTTTAACCCCAACTCTTTCACTTGAGATACTTTCTAATCAGTCTACAGACACCGAGGAACACCACAATAGCAACGATGTTGAAAATCTCTCAATAAATTCTGAACCACCCCCATCTTACGAGATAGCTGTCATTGACCTTTCTCAACCACCGCCGAGTTACAACGAAGCTGTGAAGTAAAATTCTACGTACCGTTATTTATTTTTCATTTGTTTTCATGATTATAAGTCGTGATTGATGATTTAAGGTTCATAAACCCTCTGCTCACTTATATAAAATGTTGCATGAACCTTAATGATTTTCCAAAAGAGATGTATTTTATAAGTAAAATGCAAACAATTCTTGTGGAATAGCATAACTTGCGGGGCAAAATTGGACAAAAAAGACACTTCAACTTTGCAAATCTATAAAGGAATAATAGTCATTTATGTCATTAAGAGTTATCTCTCTTATCAGAGTATCAATGAACCTTAAAAAATACTCATTTTTAAATACAATATATGTAATGTTGATACACGTATTTGTTGAAAGGAATACAGTCTTTTGTGTATGATCCGTACATGGTATCCATAATCCACCATAATTTATTTATAACGAACATTAATCTATACGTATTCCATACTTTCCTCTTTCTTCTAGTAGAGATTAATCAAGCAAACCAAATTGCATATGTGTCTGCATAACATGGACACTATTGTCAAAAAATGCGCTTGTTCCCCCTTAATGTTAACAGTCTCAGTAGTACAACGACGCAAAATGTAATATGAGCAAACCAAACAGGGACTTCTAACAGATTCAGAGGTTGATTAGGTGCCACGGAGGAGTTTAGTATTCCCTGTCGACTCTTGTACCCTTTATAAGCAGACCAATCTGTTCACATGAAGCAGGATTCAATAATTTAAAACTAGAACACGAAGAAGAACATTTCCTGTGGCTTACAATCCGACATTTAGAAGTATCGACGACGCATAATCAATTAACAATATTTACTTCCACTCTTATATTGATTTGTTATACCCAAATAGACATTAAACATTTTACGAGGGGTGATCAAAAAGTTCGCGAACTAATTGAATAACTTCCATAAAAGAAAAAATATTTGGTTTTAATGTTGATTATATTTTAAATTAATCCTCCCCAATTTTAATGCGCATCAACCACCGTTCTGCACATGCGTGAATTACGTGATATCGGCGGTCACGTGACCCCCACCGTAGCGTTCTGTCACAAAAGTTTAAAAAATTTTCTGAGTTTTATATTTCTTCCCATGTGAGTTAATTTTTATGACAAGAACAGTTCATTTGTCAGAAATGGTCATATCTCGGCAACAGAATGGGTGGATAAGAATATCCTTTCCAAATATAAGCATGGCGACTATTAAAACACAAATCCTCTGTCTTGGGAGAGACCTTTATTCAAGGTAGATAGAGAATGGGTGCCTCCTTTTTATCATATCTAATATATTTAAAATCTAAAGTAAACGATATCTTTAATACTTATATTATTGTTCAAATATTCAACTATTTTTCAAAGTGTTAATTTGAGGTCTTTGATAGCAAATTGCTTAATTAAAAATACATATCTTTTCAAACTTGCTTTCACTGGGCAAGATGATAAGTATCATATTTAACCATCTGCATTCCTTCACTAAAACGATCAATCCAATCATTAATTGAATTTATAGGAACTCATTTATCTCAATAAACCGTGTACAAATTATTATATGATACTGCAGAGGGATTTCTAAGATATACAATAAATTGTACAGTCGTTTGTTGAACGAGTTCGACTGAGGCAACCATTTTTCGTCACAAGTGACCTACATAGTGACGTCATTTTCACATTGTGACATCACAAACAAGTAGAGAAACTTTATTTAGCATATGCTATTTATAGACCTTGTGTATGGCTATGTATATACCGAATTTCATTCTAATCTGAATTGTGGTTTTGTAGATGTAGAGATAGTTCGCGAACTTTTTGATCACCCCTCGTAAATAAAAGAGATCCCATGGAGACTGACACATTTGCTTCTAATTTTGATATTTTTCAAAAAAAGACACCAAATGTAACCCCAAAACTTACTTTTTATGATAAACGTGATGATTTTAACTCTTTCTTCAGTTTCCCTAATAAATGTTTTGCTATACAATTATTGTCAGCTTAATAGAATTCATGTCTCTAGGTTGATTCGATACGTAAAACTCTTGTACGAACAATTCCTAGACGAGGCAAACTATTAGTTTATTACAAGTTGATGAATCAAATCAACAGTCTCGTCACAAATTCGCTAATTATTCGACGAACAATTACCTTGTCAGCAAACACAATCTAACATAAGCTCGAATCTTGACTGACATTCTTTTTCAAATTTATTGTTAGGTGACTTAGATCATATTACTTACACACTGAATTGTTTACATCTTTTTCCCGTTTTCCCGATCATGACAATAAACACACACTGGGCGTCACCGGTCTACAGCGGATGCTTACTCCTCTATGACACCCAATCTAATGTCCGCTGATTTAGAGGTTCCTGTTTACTCTTCCCCGACTGATATGCTATTATGGACTTTAGACTTCGATATTTCATTGTCTAAACATTTAATTTTCAGAAGCCTACATCATATTTATTGATAAATAAAGTATTATGGTGATATGGATCGATAGGCATTTGCATCCAATAATAATGTGCAATGTGTGAAGAGAGATTTAGCTACTAATATGTGAAATCAGTGTAGTATTCTGTATTTAAAACATGTACCTTGACTATTTAAACAATTTTCCTTTATTCAATAAAGGTTTTGCTCCCTGATTTTTACATCTAACATAATATTTCATTACAGGTAAACATGAGGAAAACGACAGTCGAATACCTTAACATCACAACACCTGTGCCTGATTCCAATGACGACTATTTTGAGAGTGGTTGGTTTGGATCTGTCTTAATTCTGGTGCTCTTTGTTCTTTGTTATAAATTTGGTCGTGAGAGCATAAGAAAAATACGTGAGTGTAGGCTGAGGAATTGTGAATGCTCCTGTAATTTGTCTCTGGATTCATGCAATTGTTTAGATGTGATTAGGTCAAAATGCTCTGCAGCTTGTGAACGTTTAAGAGTTTTTGTCAGAGGTAGAAACCATGAAAGGACAGACACAGAACACGTTCCGACCCAGGCGGTCACACTAAATGGGCTACCCTCTCAGGCTACAGAAACGAACGAACACACCAACAACAATAACCAAAATGTCCCAGGTAGTCCTGAACCACCCCCATCCTACGAGACAGTTGTCTTTGACCAGTTCCAACCACCCCCTAGTTACGAAGAAGTTACGAGGTGAATTGTAGATTATTTAGTGTAATGCGTATTAGGAATGCAAAATCAATGATTATAATGATTTGCAGCTATCCATAGTTTGATTTACAGCTATCCATAGTAATACACAATGGTATTTATAAAAAAGATCCTCACTTTCCACACAGACATATTTGTAATTTCACTAACTTGTATAAATTAAAAGACCACTGTCCCCAGGATCATGAAACATCTTGAGCTTAAGTCAATATCTTCATGTGGTACTTAAATGTTGTGGAAGTCAAGCAGATCAAATTTATAGTATGTTTCGATATTGTTTCACAAAAAGTTTTGTTATTTGCAAATGTTAAGATTATTTAAATAATTAATAAACATTTTTCTGGCGATTGAAATTTGTCTTGAGTCTAAGATTGTTTCCTGATCCTGGGGCCTGGACATATAGTTATTTGTTACTAGTTTCAGTACTTCCACTATCAGTTGTTGTTTACATTTTCCATGTTTTCCCCCCGTAGAGTTTGTTATAACACATTTAGTGAGGATGAAAGGGTTTTTTTCATAAGATTGTACAATGTAGATTTTAACGTTCTCTAAGTTTTGTGTTTTTTTTTTTGTTTGTTTCAAGCTAAAATTCAGAGATATCATCTTGACAAATACATTTGTATTGCTTTAAACAACGTATCAGAAATCACAGCCATGTTGTCTCTATACCGGTAGTTATATAAAATAAATTTAAACATAAAAGATCATTTATTCATTTAAACCTTTTTTAATAAAATCCAGGGATTTTACAACGCTTGAAAATATAGTTTTAGATGCTTTATCTGTCTGCATTTTCTCAAGCAGAGAGATAAAGTTCTGTATAATACAGGAAGCGATCTAGTTTGCCTTGTTCTTAGTAAATCATTCTAGCTAATCAAATATTTAGACTTATCATGTATTTATATGTATTTCTGCATTGTATGCATTTAAAGAATTGTTAAAAACACAGAAAACACCCAACAACAGAAATAAAATCAGTTAAATGTTCATCGTATCCGTAAGGACGGGATGAAATTCCTCAGTATTCCTTTAACTGGGCGCCACAACAGAAGAAGCAAAATTCTCACCAAATGTAGGACCAATTCCAGCATGACTTTCAGGGGATTTTCCATTTTCTGTAATTAACAAGATTGTGTACGTCAATGACGCGTTTAGACATCGCTATAAATTGTGTGACCCTGGGGAACAGTTTTCATCCACAAAATCTGGAAGCATCTTTGAATCGCATGTGTGTACATTTTAGAGACTATTATTTTACTTCATAACATGTTGATCAGTTTTTGTTAATTTTGAAGGGAAAAAATAAAAGGACATAAAACATTTGCATACATTTGTCGTACTGACTACATTATTGTTTACATTGATTTTTAACATCTGTTATTTAAAATATAAACAAAATATTATTCAGACACTTCATCTAATGACAATTTTAAATGATAAATCTTTAGGTTCCATAATGTATGTACTGCTGTAATTCAAATCATTGGAACAATAATAATGAATAGGTTCCTAGCATTCCTATTTTCAATTAAAAAATTTTGAATTAATTATAAAGCAGTAAAATTAAATATAAAGATAAACAAGCAGTATTCATGCTCAAAGTCTATTATAAAAATACAAATCGGGAGGAGCAGAGCAAACACAGACCTCCAAAAACATCGAGGTGGGATCAGGTGCCATGAAGGAGTAAACATCCCTGCCGACCGGTTACAACCATGTTTAATTACTTCACATGGTGCTGCTCTAAACTTTATCACATGGCATTTCTACTTTATGTTTAGCAGATTAAAATTACAATCAAAATTTCATTTGGTAAAATGTTTTTATGAACCAAGCAGTTGGGTGACGAGGTCGAAAGTGAATGAGTTTAATGCGCCTCAAATTCTTACGGTTAAATCACAATGACCAACAATAAATTTGTAATAACAACTCATACTTATATTA